AATTTTACGGTGAGGAGGAACAAGTCTTCAGAGTTGAGGTGTTTGCTGTCTTTTTGGTAGCAGGACCCCCTGCGAGATTGAAAGTAGGGAGTGGCTTGAAAGCAGCAGAAATTCCCTGGAAGGGTTGAAAGCAGGTGGGTCCAATTTGTTTGGAAGTACTGGAGTTGCCACTTTCTACAGTTTAGGGGGATTGGTTTTTCCTTTCCTCTGTAGATTCTGGAGAAAGCTGTGAGGGTTTGCAGTCTTAGTTGGACCCAGGAGAGGCCTTACTCGTGGTTAGAATATGTGGTTGTCTAACAGTGGTATTTCGTGGGCCTTCTGTACCTTCCCCTATTTCACTGGATCTGAATTTCCGTGACTAGGATTTGAATGGGGTTTTCTTGGACATTTAGGAAACAGTTTAGACTCTGAAATATCACTGTGACACAGAGTTAAATTCACACTAATGTTCTAAGGACTGAAGTGTACAGATTGCCTAATTTGTCAGGCAAGACAAAGACTATGAGAAACTTATTCACAAACAGGGCCAAGGCACCGTTTCTGACTGTGTATCACTCAGACAAAGGAAAGGAAACACTTCATCTTTTTTTTTCAGTTTCTGAGTCTGCAGATTATATCATCCAGGAAGTATATGGACCACTGTTAAATGGGAAGCATCTATGCTCTCTCTTGAACAGCATATTAAGCTGAGTTTAAGTGAGCACAACCTACCTGTTAAACCCATGCTCCCTCAAAAGCTTGTGAGTAAAGGGGCAGTTTACCAACATTGAATGAGAACCTTCTAGGCACTGTGCTGGGTATTATATATGTGTTCTCACAGTAGAGTTTTAACATGAGGAAAGATCATCACGATAACTTTCCAACAAGCTGTTAAGTGGTAGAGGCAGGATTCTATACGAGATCTGTCAGACACCAATGTCTTTTTTTTTCTTTTATTAAATGTGGTGTTTGTACTGTTTTCTTCTACAATCTCTCTTTAAATTTCTCATGGAGTTTGATTTCAATAAAGGTCTTCATGAATGGGCTTGCTACATTTGAAGAATATAGTTCGACGAAGTTTTTCCCAATTTATCAAGTTGATTTACATTGAATTCTGTACAATGAATGTCTGTTTAGGGTCACAGAAAGGCATAGAAAGGGGGCACGCGTGGGTTGCTTTGTTTTTACAAGATACATGAATATTCAGTATTTTGGATAGGGACCTTCGTATCCTCCTTTGACAGTCTCAGCGGCATAAGTTGATGATATTAAGTCTTTCAAGCACAGTCCATTGATAGTTAAATAACCTGATTTCAATTATGCTAGCGTTGCAGTGCAGAATGGAAGAATGACCCCTTTTGAATAAAGCTCACCGATTGCTTCATTTATTGCGTATAGATTGTTAGCTTAATTTGCTCTTGTTCGAGAACAAGAAGCAAAATTTTAAAATGTGTGGGGTTTTTAGTGGCAAAATAATTACAAGATTAGTCCTCTGTCACTGTCAAAAATTAGCAATTTTTCCTCCTCCTCATTGTTAAAGTAAGATGAGTGGTAGCATTGTCTCAAAATTATGCTTTCTTTGCCCTTGTCTTTCTCACTTTGTTTCATCTTTTTTTCATTCTTCTCTCCTGCTTTCTCACACTTCTGAATGGTAATCAGGACCATCATTTCCCTTTACTGTTTCACCTCCTTTCAATAGTTTGAAAATAGATCTATATGGAATTAAATAATTATATAACTACAAATTCTTAGTGTCCAGTTTATAGTTTGAGGTCTTTCATAGTTATTAGATCTGTTACAGTACGCTTTTCTGGATTATTTCATCTGAAATATGCCATCTCTAATTCACTTATTTATTCCTCTTTCGTTTATGCTAAAAATGTACCTACTTTGTTCCAGGCCCTGTGCTAGGGGTTGCCAACCTGATTTTTCCCCAAGCCCAGGTAGCTGGTGGTTTCACGCAACACATGCCACCTTCGTCTGCATACCAGACTTATAAACAGTTTTCAGTCCCCCTTTTTTTCCCACTCATGAAAGAATATCTGAATTCAGGGAAATGAGAGAGATAGTGGTTAATTTTGAAGCCACTGTAGTACACAGAAATAGTGAATCATCGCCATAGTTTGGCACAGGAGTCCGTATGGTTGCTTGTGACAACCCTCACAACTAACTGATCTTGATGCTCTGGTGTGCCAGGATCCTTCCGAGTGTATCATGATAAAGTCTTGGACCATCAAGAAAAAGGCCTAGCAGTGGAGGTAGGATGTACCCAAATAATCATAATTCAAGGGAAAATGCAGTACATAACTAGCAATACAGAGTCTTTCTTGTGCCTTTCTGGGTAGGAAGAGATTAATTTCTGAAGTATAAGAAAAGACAAACATTGTATCCAAAGTGGCATGTGAACTACATGGAAAGAATTAGGGAAAATGAATGTGATTATTTTGAACCCAAAAGTCACATATACTACCCATTAATTTGATTCTTGAGATTCTGTGTTCTCTTTGAATATCGAAATCATACATGTATACACAAAGGTGTACGTGCGCGCACACACGTATCTACATGTTCATGCAAAATTAAGCCTTGTGGCCAAAGATACATTTTTCTCTAGGGACTGGCAATTACTTTACCCTCTCCAGTTGATAGAAGCTGCTTGACTTACAGGTTTTCTGTTGATTTATTTTACTATTTAAAAAAATGTGATATCTCTTAAAATATTGGGCCCCGAGTATGGGTTTAATTACTATTCAAGGATCTCATCCTGAAGTGATTTATAAGCCACAACACTGTTTTCTCTCTGTATAGCATTGGTATTTTTGGAAGTCGGGTTGCCTATGCCAAGTTTTATTTGTAGATAGAATGGGAATCGTTAAATGGTCTATCAATTCACAGGAAATCTTTGTTCCTTTATTAAGAGCACACTGGATAACTAATTCCATTTAGTTTTCAATAATTTCTTGTATTCCTGAGGCAGCCTCAGGAGTCATGTAATTGCTTCAGATACTCAGCATGAGTTTCTTGCAAGAAAGCCACAGAAACATCTTTTCCCTTTTTTTTTTTTGTAGTAATGGACTGGACATAGCTTTTTTAATAAATGAGGATTTTTATCAAAATGAAGATTCTTTTTAGAAAATTATTTCATTAAAATGAGGATTTTTATTATAGCACAAGAAATAATATATCAATGGTGGACTGAGTAAATTGTGGGACATTCATATTTTGGAACATTACATAATTTAAAAATGAGAACAATCAAGGTTCATTGACCCAGAGAGGAGAGCATGATACATACAACTTAAAAACTTTAAATGGCTATGTTTACTAATATATTTGTATATTACAAAAAGGTATAGAATAACATAGTCCCTAAGGACATTGAAATTGGTCAAAGGATAGGCAAGCTGTTGGAGGGAGATGATTATTAATAGAAAGAATTCAAAAACAGATTCGTATACGTGTGATAATTTAGTGTGGAATAAAAGTGTCATTCCAAAGGAATGGTGAAAAGCTGCATTATTAATAAATGATGTTGGTACAGTTGGCTAGCTATTTGGGGGAAAAAAAAGAATAAACTAGATTCTTACCTCACTCCTTTTATCAGAATGAATTCCGGATTGATCAAATATTTAAATGTTTAAGGTGAAGTCATGCAAGTTCTAGAAAAAAACGTTAGTGAATATTTTTTGGTTTTGAAGTGAGGAAAACCTAAGCATGACCCCAAATCCAGAAATAATTAAGGAAGACATATAAATTTACCTATGCCATATTTTCTCAAAGTCTTGAGAACTAGGTGAATCTTGATTCTAATGTTCATTGACCCCAATTTCAGTTTTAATATGGCTTTAGAAGTTTAATGGTATCACTTTGAAGGCATTGGACCAATGTAAACATACACTGAGCAAAAAGACCACCTGTCTGGTGATTTCAGCAACTGCATTTGTGTTTGTAATTGTCAGCATTCATGCACCATTTAAAGCGATGGCATTTCACTATATTGTTTTTTACATGTGTATGTATAAACAGTAATTTGTATATTAATATTACTTTGAACGAATGAATAAGAAATAACAAATCAAAAAAAAAAATTGTGAGAAAGCATGTAAGAAACTGACATGTAGTTACCTCTGGACCATGGGGCTGAACATGATGGAGAGGGTAAGCCTCATTTTATGCTGTTTTCACCTGTATAATATGAATATGTGTTGCTTTGGGGCTTCTAAAAGATTTTGTCACATTCATAATCTGGTTATTTCTTAGTTATTTTATCCAATTACCCATTTAAAAAAAAAATAAAGCCCAGGCAGCAAAACTTTTTTGCCAGGTTGCTGTGCATATATAATGGAGAAACATGAAGGTATTTTTGCTTTGTTTTGTCACAGATGGGCACAGAGGATGCTCAGCCTGCTAAGTGACCTACAGTGTATTCGTGTAGTGGGTTTTTGGAGGCGACACACAGAGAGGTTTTGAAAAATGTGCGTCATCTTATGAAATAGTTTTATTTAAAATCTAAAACATTTGATTCTTATGAATCACTCATTTTATCATATTACAAGCACAGATTTATCATGCTGTAGAAGGCAAAACTCCTGTAAATTGTTACAGTACAATAGGAGCCATCAGAGAACGCGTGGAGGGCGACTTCTGTGAATGAATGCCTATGCTCCCTTGGGAGGCATCCTTCAGGATCCTCTCCCGGGTAACTGGGAAATGCTGCTCTGAGTAAATATGGACAGGTGAAAGCAATGGGTATTCATCCTAAAGCTTATTTGGGTTTTTAGTTCTGAAGTTATGGAGTGGAAGGAAGTAGATTTCACAAAAGGCAAATTCTATTAGCTCAATTTAGCCCACTGAAATGAATGTTTGATTATGTACTTAGGATTCTCACTGAGTCTAGCAAATGTCTGAGCTCATAGTTTAGTCATCAAAATTATAATCCAGTTAAAGCTAAGTGAGCTAAATAAACTAATTTTAATCAAATTTACTTTGATCTCGCTTCTCCCCCCTGTCCCCCACTACAGGTCACAGTAATGAAAGGCAGTAATAGAAATAAAGATCATTCAGCAGAAGGAGAAGGGGCTGGAAAGCGACCGAAACGGAAGTGTCTTCAGTGGCATCCATTGCTAGCAAAGAAACTTCTTGACTTTTCGGAGGAGGAGGAAGAGGAAGACGAAGAGGAGGATATTGATAAAGTAAGTCCTGCATTTACTGTAGAAGTCTCAAGTTTATTTGAGCACTCAGTATTCTATAATGGAAACTACAGTGAACATGAATGGTACCGTGAAAGATGTGTTTCTAAAAGTCTGTATAACTTGAATCCTATTTAACTGCTGTACATTTTTATTCTAATTATTGATTGCTCTTAAAGTAACCTAATACTTTAGAATAAAACAGATCCTTCTAAAACAGTATTTCTATCACTTAACTAATGATTTGTAGGTAATGTTCAAATGCTGTGAGATGGTGATATTCATATAACTTGATGTATTGACTCAGCACCCACCCTGTGGCTCCTCTGGCTTCTCTGTCTTCCCTTCCAGCCTTGCCCTGTCACCATCAGCAGTCTCAGAGCTGCTCTCTCGGCCTTCATAGCATCTGGCTGTACCCACCCCACCAAGCCCCTGTGATGCCTCAGTCCTTCAGTGATGGCCTCATGCCTGAGAAGCTGGCTCTTGTTTAGAAAGTCACACAACCATGCAGGTGACTATAGGAAGTCACACATTCCTCCAGGTCTTGGCCTATCTGGCTCCTCCTCCCATCATTCAGCTCTCAGCACAATATCTACCTCCCCAAAGAGATGGGACCTCATCACCAACTATCCTTCCCACCCAACTTGTTCCAAGTCGGAGGAGCTCCTTCATGACACGTACTGCTATGTGCCATGTGTTTAACTGTATACTTTTTATGTCTGTCGTCTCAGACCAGAATAGAAGCTCAATAAGAGCAGAGGCCTTGCTCCTCTTGTCCTCTCCTCTTTCCCCAGAACTGAGAATGGTGCCTTGCACGTAGTAGATACTGGATGGATATATGCTGAATGGAAGAATAAATGAGTATGTATTTTGTGTCACAACAAATTTCATAAACATTATATTTTTTAATATTTTTCAGGCCTTCAACATCCATTCAGTCTCTTTTTCTTCGCTAAAGCAGGAATGAATTATAGACATTTTTTCCTGTTTCTCAGACATTGTCCCTGGATACCCTCTGAGGTTGTTCTCACTGGTGACCTTTACTTCTCTTCCACAGAGCACATGGAGGCCACTGGCAGTGACCCTTTCAGCTTCCTTCACACACCTGTGTGCTTGTCTCTCTCCTTTTTCCTCCCTCCTTTCCTGTTTCAGAGAAAGAGGTTCCTATTCAAGGAAATTGCCAAGTTTAAACTTAATTTGTTTTTTCTGACACATTTGTACCTATTGATCACTTGGTCATTGAAGCTGGCTCCTGTTTCCATGAGGGTATTCTCTCCTATTTATATTTCTTCCTTCCTAGGAGGAAGCACCTCCATTATTCTCCCCTCAGATGTTGATGTTGTCTGGGCCTCTAATCTTAAATTCTGTGTCCCTCCTGAACTCTGGACTCATATTCCTGACTATTTACTTGACATATCCACTTAGACATCAACTACGAATCTCAGTTTGGATGTGTTCACAACTACGCTTTTGCTTTTCTTCTCCAAACCTTCTCCTGCATCTTTCCTTTCTCACTAAATGGCAACTGCAGCATTCCAGTTTGTCAGTCCTGAAACCTTGTAGTTCATACTTGCCTCCTTAATTTTGCTCTAACTTCACACAAAGCTATCAGTAAATCCTCTCAGCTATACCTTTAAAATATATTCTCATTGTGACCCCTTCTTAACACTTCCCTACCTCTGTGTCACCTTGATCCAAGCCACCACCATTTCTAGCACAGATTATTGTATCTGCCTCTCTCTCCCTTGCCTCTGCTCCGGCCCTCCCAGAGTCTGTTCTCAACAAAGCAGCCAGAGGGATCCTTTCAAAATGTAAGTCCACTTATGCTGCTCCTCTGTTTCATGAAGGCAAGGACTTTGTGTGCTCACTGCTCTATCTGCAGCACCTAGAAGAGTTGCCTGGCTCATAGCGGGTGCCCAGTAAACATTTATTGAGTGAAAGATTAAAGTCCTTGAATCCTCTTCTCTTTTCACTCCATGTTTGGTGATCTTATCCGCACCCTTAGTCTTACCACCTTCTGTGTATCGGCGCCTTGGAATGTTATCCCACAGACTTCGGTACCCACATGACATACCCCTAACCACTTCAAATTCAGCCTGCCCAGCACTGATCTTTCTGCTCCCCACCAGACCTAATTTCTCTCATTTGAAGAAGAGTATGCTCTGTTGTATGAAGAAACTTTGCCACCCAAGCTAGAATCACTCTTCCTTTTCAACCTTCAGATCCAATTAGATACTAACCACTCTTGGTTCTACCTCATAAATATTGTCTCTGTTCTCACTTCTTCATTCCCATTACTGCTGCCTGGATTTCAGCCCTGTCCCTTTTTTTTTGCCTGCACAGCTGAAACAAAATTTTAACTGGGTTCTCTAGTTTTGGTTGCTTCTAGTTTTACTCTTAAAATCTGTGCTCTACACGGTTAACAGGAATTATCTCCTTAAAACTCAACTGTGGCAATGTCCTTCCTTGCTTACAACCATTCATGGCTCTCCATTGCATCCAGCTGAGGGTACTAGTGTTGATTTCTTACCAAGTATTAATGGGCCCTTGGTGAAAGAAAAATAAGTGCAGAGAGAGTTCTTTATCTTTTAATTTATTCATGTGTTTATATGTGTTCTTTTTGATTAATTAATTTAATGAAATAATGACAACATTGTAGTTTAAAATTTTTTTTTTAATATCCATACTTGGCAAAATAAAAAGTTGACAATCTATGTCAAACCAGACATTTTTTATTGGTCCATACAGTCCAAAACCACTGGTCTACAAATTAAATGTATGCTTTTTAACATGGCGGAACACATTCTTCCTGAAGTGGCCCATACCTTCTCCTATAACCTTATTTTCCAGAACTTTGTTCTCATCTTTTATATACCAGTGCTATTGAACTGCATATTAATGTTCAAATAAACCATCAAGGCTTAATCCTTGTTAGTTCCCCAGGTCTCCTCATTGACCATCTGACACATTCTCATTCATCTTTCAAAATTTAGCTCAGACAACACCTTTTCTAGGGAGACCTTCTTGTGTTTCTGCCCACCCACGAATGCTTCATTATCTTACTGGTTCCTTGTTGCAGTCATCACACTGCTTTGTAATTTATGTTTGTCTTCCTTTCCAAAACAGTGAGGTGTTTTGCCAGCTTTTAGCTTGAGTTTTATAATTTAGTAACTAAATCAAAAGTTATTCTTTTCTGAAGGGAAAATATAATTACTTCCTTAACTTACATAACACATTTTTTATTTCTGATTTTCCCTTAGCTTCTTAGTTTCAGAATGCTAAATAAATATCCCTTGAAAAGGCAAATGACTGTTAATGATTATATATATAATAAGGAAGATAAATATATAACCTTCACATCCAATAAGAATCCTTAATGTATTTCCAAATTGGATAGTTATGACTTCAAGATTTTTCTGTGCTAATTGTGTTTGAAGATAGTTGATGACTAATTAATTGCATTTATAATACTTAAAAGATTTTTTATCTTTTAAGCAATGATTTATCCTAGATTGTTTGCCTGTTATAGTTGCCCAACAAACATTATATAAAAGAACATGGTTGCCTTATAGTTGTGGTTCTCAAAATGTCATCCTCAGACAAGCAGCATCAGCATCACCTGGGAGCTTATTAGAAATACAAATTCTCAGGACCCACTTCAGACCTACAGAATCGGAAACTTTGGGACTGGATCCTGCCAATCTGTGTTTTAACAGTACCTCCAGGAATTCCAGTGCACACTCAAGTTTAAGAATTACTGCCCTACTGCATGATGCAGACCAATGACTACAGGTTGAGCATCCCTAATCCGAAATTCCCAAATCTGAAACACTTCCAGTCCCAAACATTACAGATCAGACATATTCAACCTATAACTTGGTCCTTCTTGATTTTTAACTGTGAAACAAGAAATTAAGGTAATGGTCTTAGTAAGTATTCTGGACTTCTGCTCATAGTTGCATTGTTTCCAAGAAAAATCATAGAATCATATTTTCACCTTAGGAGATGTTTTATCATCCTAATGTGTTCTGAGATTCTGTAATCAGAGATGGGCTTTAAGAAATTTAATCTGGAAGCCATATATAGGAAGTATTGTGAAGATTAAAAGCAGGAAGACTAGAATGTAGGCCAAAATGGTATGAGGGCAGTAAGAATAAGAACTATACAGACAAAATGGACAGATTCAGAGTTTTGTAGAAGTCCTTAAAGACCTTGAGCAATGATTGAATGAAATGTTTAGGAAAAGGGAGAATTCAAAATTGATTTTGAAGGTCTAAGCCTACGGGAATTTATTCATGTCACCGTAGCATTTCGTAAATAAGAAAGCTTGATATTTACAAGCTTGAAGATTTACTGTGTAGTTCTTCTTTCAAATAACATTTTAATGTCCATTTGATTTTTTACAGTAGGAAGCTCCACTTGTGATGTGTGCAAAAACACTGAATAGTTTTTTATTTACTTTCATGCCAAACATTCTTATATTGTAACTATAGAAAAGAGGAGAAGGACACAGCTTACATTCATATTTTATGTGGATATTGTTAATCTTGAGACTCATAAATCACAGAATGGGTTTATTAATTATTCAGTAATTAGTTAAGTACTAATATACCAGTCATTGAGCTAGGTGCTAAGGTTGTAAAGGTAAATAAGAGAACTTTTGTCCTCAAAGAGCTCACTGTTCAGTAAGAAAGGAAAAAAATGTGAGCAATTATAACACAATGTAATATATACTGTAATAGAGACATGCACAGGTTGCTATAGAAACTAAGCAGAAGGATACATCATAAGTTAGTTGCCAACCATGAACAGTGGTTGATGATTTTAAAAAATCATATTTTTCCAATTCATAAGTTGTTTAAATGGAGCTAAGAAAAAATACAATTTGCAAACCAAGACTAATTGTTAAATCAAACTTGTCCAAGATATGTTAAACATCTGGCTTTGTTTTGGTTGGTAAAATAGGTTCAACTTCTTGGGGCTGATGGCCTAGAGCAAGATGTTGGTGAGACTGAAGATGATGAATCACCAGAACAGCGAGCCCGGAGACCAATGAATGCATTTCTTTTATTTTGCAAACGCCATCGCTCCCTTGTACGTCAGGAACACCCCAGGCTTGATAACCGAGGTGCTACCAAGATACTAGCTGATTGGTGGGCTGTTCTCGATCCAAAGGAAAAGCAGAAATACACAGACATGGCCAAGGAGGTAGGTTGCAATGACAAGGTGTTATGGTGACTAAGAGAAACCAGTCCTGAAACTCCCAGTCAGCAAATATGGAGCAACTATTGAAGGTCTAGCAATGAGAAGATGAATTATTATCAATCAGATGTTAAGTGAAAACATAAGAGCTTTCTTTGTTCTTGTTCCCACATTCCAAGTCCACCTTGGAAATGCTGGTGGAGGTACCAAAAGCAATTTATTACCAAGAAGTTTTTCCTCGTTGTCTATACTCCACTGATTGATAATGTAAGGAATTGATTTATTATGAATAGTTTATTACGAGTGGTTTATTTATTTTTCCTTTTAAGTTTTTCTAGGAACTCAGCTTTTGTTATAGAGGATGTCCACAGTAAAGATGACAGTCTTCTTAGGTTACTCTACTTGTCTCATGGAAAGTCTTTTTTTTTTTTTTTTGAGACAGAGTCTCACTGTGTTGCCCGGGCTAGAGTGCCATGGTGTCATCCTAGCTCACAGCAACCTCAAACTCCTGGGCTCAAGCAATCCTCCTGCCTCAGCCTCCCGAGTAGCTGGGACTACAGGCATGCGCCACCATGCCCGGCTAATTTTTTCTATATATTTTTTGTTGTCCAGATCATTTCTTTCTATTTTGTTTTTTTTTTTTTTTAGTAGAGACGGGGTCTCGTTCTTGCTGGTCTCGAACTTCTGACCTTGAGCGATCCACCTGCCTCGGCCTCCCAGAGTGCTAGGATTACAGGCATGAGCCACCGCGCCCGGCCTCTCATGGAAAGTCTTGATCTACTTCTGATGCTTTGTGACCATATACATAAGTCAGTCTCTGGGTTTTAGGTTCTTTTTCTGTTTTTTGAATGTTATTAGAATGAGGAAGTTGGACAAGGATTTGTATCCCTTCCAGCTCTAACATTTTTTGATTTTATAATAATCACACTTATCAAGAGAACTGCTTTGACTTGTTTCTGTTCTGTAGGTAGTTCACCATGAATATTTAAAACCAATAAATGAATGAATGGCAGTCGAACATGATGTACTTGTGATGTGTCATATATGTAAATACTGTGTAAGCTTTAGTTGATGGGAAGTATTTCCATGCAGGAACCTTTGTCAGACAGGGGCCACATTAATCAATTCCAAAATGATAGCAGTTATTAAATTTCTTCAAAAATTGTACACTGGTTCTGTTTCTAAATTAATCTGGAATTAATGTGAGATCATTGTACATTTAAATATATTGTGAATGGATTTAGCCCCTAAGAAAGGAATGAGCAAAACAATATTATTGTGGTTAAACTTGAAAGGAATAATTCTAACATTATTCTCTCCATGTTGCAACTTGTGAAAAATCTTGATTCATGAAAACCCCTGCCAACCAAACATTTGGTTAACTTTTGTGGAAAAATGAAACAGCAGGGAACAAAATAATAGAATTTCAAGACATTTTATTAGATATCTCAGTATGTGAAAAAATACTTTCAATTGCTGTGCCTTTATTGAGTTGTTTAGTAAGCTAACATATAAAAATTTTTTATGAAATGTTCAAGGGAAATTTGAATCTAGAGTAAGTGATTAGCATAGTTGCTATGTAATTAATGATAACACAAGGCCTTAGGAAGTGACTATTGTTAAAGACAGGATTTTAACTATGTAGGGCATCTGGAAAGTTTAAAATCAATTGCAGTAACCTACTCAATTTTAAATATTTCAACAGATTTCCACTAGCATAATAGTAATTAATAGTAAAACTTTCCCATTAAATAGCCTTATATCCTTTCATAGTCATCCTTATATGGTAAAATAAACAATTATGTGAAACCTCATAGGGAACTGCATAAGCTTCCTATAATTAAACACTTGAGTTTGTTTTTGGATTGCTGGTTTTGGATAACATGCAGCCCTTCCCCAGTATATTGTTTACCTTTCTTAAAAATTACTAATTTACAAACCCAATAGGTGGCCACTTTTAAGATGAGGAAGTATTATTTTCATAATGAAAATCCCTTACTAATTACTTAATTAGGTTCATAATATTTGCCATTGTGGTGCTAAAATGAAACCTGTTACATGGCCCTCTGCAATCTGCTAAAAGTGGAAACCATAACTCCCATGTTCCACATTGTGACTTGCCTTGTTTATAGTTGCTCTTGTGAAATGTTGCCTCATTTCTACTGAAAAGTATAGAAGATTCAGCTACTTTCACAATTATTACACAACTGGTCTCTAGTCATAAGTGATTCTTTCTTGTTTCAAATTATTTACTAAATAGTTTTGAAATTACATTAAAGTGCATGTAATTATGCTGGTGCCTTTTGTGTGAATATTTTGCAACCTTAATTGGAATGTTAGTTCAGTCAACAAATACTGAACTAACATTATTAAGTGGCTTCAATGTACCAGGTTTTGTGGTGGTTGCTAGTGATACAAGGCGGTGATAAATACAATCTCTGTTACTCAAGGGACCCCTCCCCCCGTGCCATACACACACAATCATAATTATTTTTAAAACTCTGTTTTAGATGTTTAACCTTTTAATTTTAAATCTTCTCTGTTAGGCACAAAACATCATCTTTCAGCATAGTGTATGTGTGTGAATGTGAACACTTACATGATATTTGCCAATATCTGGCCTGCCATTATCAGTTGAGTGAGAAATAATTTTTTTCCTTTTTCTTTTTTAAAAGAAGCATATTTTAAAAACAAGAATGAGTAATAATCCAACTTTGGAAAGATTCTTTTGTTTACCTATTAATGAAAATTTCCTTTTACCCTTCCCTTGCACCTGATTATCTTCTATTAGTGCATCTGGTAAGACAAAGTACCTGTTTTAGGATTTGTTTTCAGTTTCTTGAATTATTGCCCAGTACTAATTTGCATTGTTGGAAGAAAAATGGTTGAATGAGGGTTTTGTGTTCTCTGATGAACCTTATTAGAGCACTAATTGGTTGTAAGTAATTTAAAAAATGCTATCCTAAAGATATAACCTGGGTTGGTTTCTTAAATTTAGCAATGTGCTTGATGGTGCAATATTGTGGATATTCACAGGTTCTAATTTTTGAATGTGTGACTGACTGCCTGTTAGGAGGCACAGAAGCAATTATACCTTTCCTTTTAAAATCTTTCTGTATGTACTCTTGTAAATATAGGAATATAGATCTCTGCATTTTTGCCTAGGATACTGCTGGAACCTTCCATTTGTCATTTAAACTAATGGTCATAATTAATGGCCTGACAATAAATTTAGAGGATCACACACCTTGACCTTCACCTAGAGAAGAGTTAGTGCAAAGAAGAGGGGAGGATCTGGAAAACTAAGATAATTTGAATGGCCTTTACCATACTCCCCTCTTTTTGTAGGATCAGAGGCATGAGGCAGAATTCATGCATTTATTGATTAATTGGTTCATCCTTGGTGTTCTAAGCAAAACACAAACATGTAAAGTCAGTTATGATTGTCTCCATTCTTTAGAGCAGGAATCTAAGGCTCTGAGGACTACATAT